GCTTTTTAGCGTAAACGTTGTTATTTAGTTGGTTTTTAACATTCCAACCGTTTAGCGCTTTATTTGGTTGTAAAAACCAGCACTGCGTAAAGGTATAGCCTTTTAATTTGCAATAAATGCAAATTTTATGCTTTATAATTGCCGGAATATTATGGTTTTGCCGGCTAATTTGGGGTTGTTTTAAAATCGATAAAAACCGTTTAATATCGTTGGAATTTTCAATATCGATAGTAATTTTCGACGGCATTTTAGCGGTAATAAGTTATATAATAAAATAAAGCGTTAAATAGTAAGTAATAAGCAATAAATATATATAATAAAGTAATGTAAGTTGTAAAAACAAAAAGAAAAGGAAAATAAAAGCGAAGGGAATCGTTAAATTTATAGGAATATTACAATTTCTAAAAAAATTTATTGCTTATTAATATAAAAAGGCATTTGTAATGCAAATTGTATTTTATTAATAATAAAACGTTTAAATATATATTAATAATCCGGAAATTCCAGCAATTTCTAGCAATTTTTACCACTTTCCATGCGATTCTTTTTAATATTACAAAGGTTTTTATTAATAATAATGAGCTTTTAACTATTTTTATTGCTTATTAATGTAAAATATATTAGCAATATTGCATTTGTAATATTACTAATATTGCAAATGCAGTAATTTGTAATAAATTACGTAAATTTATATTAATTATCCGGTAATTTTAGCTATTTTTAGCAGTTTCTACCACTTTCCATGCAATTCTTTTTAACTTTATATATTATTATTTATTACAAATGCATTTAAATTAGCAAATAAGTATTACAAATTACCTATATTGCTTATAAATACAAAAAAAAAGATTAATATATAGAAATTTCTAGAATTTTTATTGCATGTATAAATATACGTAAAGCTTCCCCGTAAGTTGTTATTTCTCTTTCCTTTTTTCCCACACTATCGATTCCTACACTTACGCATTTATTATTACTTACTTTTGTCCTCGTGGCGCAGTGGTTCAGCGCTGGGAGGTCCTCTTTGGAGGACGCAGGTTCGATTCCTGCCGGGGACACCGGGTTTTTTGTTTCGCACGTGCAAAAAAGCGATTTATTAAGCCCTAAACCGTTCCGACGTTTTTCCGAACAGTTAGTCCTTATAACAAAAAAAGCCCACAGCAACAAAAGATTTTATCCTTATCGACGAGCCCTATAGCACCCACGTACGATTTCCTTTCGATTCCAGCGAAGCCATTTGCGACCCGTTAGCGGGGTTTTTTACCCCCGAACCCTGTAACGCACGTACCAAAGGTTTAAACAAAAAGCCCCTTTAAAGCACGTACAGCTTATAAACGCATAAATTATAAGGCAAGCAAAAAAATAAAGATTTCGGGCCAAAATAAATTCGACCGGTTATTGGAATAATAGCGCCGGGGTTGCGGCGAAGGATAAAGGTACCGATAGCAACAAAAGCAATTTCGATAATAAAATTGGCCGATAAAATAATGGCACCAATTAAAAAAAAGGAAAGGATCGCTTTCGAAAAGGCGCGTTTAGCCCGAAAAACAAAAGGAATACGCTTTGGTTAAAAAAGGTAAAATTTAACAATCGACGAATAAATTTTATAGTAAAATAAAATATTGTTAATTCGATCGTTTGGATTTCGCAAATAAAACCCGGATCGTAATGTACTATTTGGGATCGTAGCGCGTAAGTTATAGCGCGCTTCCTATGCACGCTTGTATTCGTGCTTTTTTAATTATTAATGTAACTTTATATGCAGGATCTTTACTTACGAAAAAGACGCGCAATCGCAAAGCCTTCGAAGGGAAGGGGTTTTTATCCAGCCTTATACCAAATAGCTATCGGCTGGAGGCACGGTTTCCTCCTTCATGTAGTTAACCCGATCCGTAGTGCTCCCCATGTGCTATATAGCTCGAACGGGGTAAATAAATTTATATATATATATTACTTACTTTTTTACGCTACAACCTTTACTTTTACCTTTTTTTATTACTTATCCTTTTTATTTAACATGGATAACATTACTTTATTAACAAACAGCTTTACTTCCGATAATAATTCGGAATATATTACTACTACTAATAATTCTGGTAATAATACCGATAACGGTGCATTTATTTACTTCTGATGAAGCTGACTCGGAATCGAGGGAATTGCCGCCCCGCATAGGCCTGGAATGTATAAAAAAGGCCGTTGCGGGCACGGCGGGGTTCAAGTTCTACGGCGGCTTTACCCAGGCACAAATCAGCATGGACACGTTGAGCAAAAATGAAGACAAAGCCCGAGTTCAATGGGATTGGAAGGTTTGCCATAATCTGTTCGATTGAGGGGCTTTGAAGAATTCCTCGAGCCACGCTCGCACGCTAAACGCCGTCATCGAAGCCCGGATCGAGATCAAGGCACCGAGGCAGAAACGGTGACGTCGTGAGGCTGCAACTTTGAGACAATTGGTAATGCACGGGCATGAGAGGATCGACGCGGAGCATGGGAGCATCCAGGTCGACGCTCGGCTCTCAGGGCCCTTGCCCAAGGCCCTGCCCAAGGTCTCAACCAGGTTCATGCAACAGGATCGAGGCCGGGATTCAGGACCTTTTGTTGATCAAGCACATTCGACGCTTGCTTGACGCACCTGTTTTCTCCTTTAAGCTAGCTTATTCCTCCAACCTGGCTTCTCCTGGCTGTGAAACAAATCGCCCCCAGCGTAGGGACAAGCCGCCAAGAGACGGGTGAGGAGGCAAAAAAAAAACTCGAGCCCCGCGTGGTCCTGCTGCACTGTTTTTTCAACTTTTTTTTCTCATCTCCCGAAAGTTGGTCGCAGATCTGGGCGGCATCTGAAAATGTGAAAAGTCAATGCGCTCCTCGGTATCAGTCATGTGTGACGGTGTCGTATGCAGGAAGCCTGTGACGACGCCTACCAGAAGAGCACCCTTCTAGCATGTTTGTCTAGACATATACGCCAGGCTTCCCGCTAGATCCGGGCGCCGTCGGCTGTGCTCGTGGAAAAGGCACAAGTCGTCAAGCGTGACAGTGACAGGGACGGGAGGCACAACATGATAGACAAATGACGTCCGACAGACAGCCGGCTCAATCTGGCCGCCGGCTGTTTCTGGGGCCCTCTGTTTCTGTGAGGGCGTGCCAAGAGCCGCCAGAACGGGGCCAGGAAATCCCGCCCCTCACCCTGGCCTTTTTTTGTTTTGTCCAGGGCTCTTTGCCTTGTCCAGGGCCCAAGACCAAAAGGCCGTTTTCGGCATCAAAATCGGCCTTTTGCGCTAGGGAGCAGCGCCAGGAACACCCCCTGCCCAGGCCTAGAACAGAGAGCGAGGGGCTGTTGAATCTCGCTGTGTGCACCCGTAAATATTTTTTGCCATCTGCTATCTGACGCAGCACATGTTTGATTAAATTGCGATGCGAAGACGTGGCTGCTCCGCCAGAAAGAGAATCAATCGAATCTTGGAATCGATCAAAACGGCTGGGCGCTTCTCAGGGCCTGAAGGTCAAGAGCGAGACGGTTCAAGAGACGGTTCAAGAGCCCTCGTCCCTGGCCTCGGGCAGTCTCGGCCTGTTGGATCGCATCTAGCCCAGGGGTCGCTGTCGCCGTTTCTGCGCCGGGCTGACGCCACCTCTGGCGACAGGCTAAAGTCGTGAGCTCCATTAACAGTGCTGTGCTGTTGTTGCTTGCTGTGTGTGCTTGCTGTGTGTGCTTGCTCTGTGTACTTGCTCTGCGTACTTGCTGTGCTCGCTGTGCTCGCTGTCCGTATTCGCCTCATTGGTTCATGTCCCCAGGGCTGTGCTTGTGGGGAGTGCTACGTCAAAACCGCCAGACCCTGGCCCCAATGCCTCCCATGAGTGGCTCACAACCCATGCCGAGGGCTCCGCCTGGCCCTCGCTTCAACTCCCCTCCCTGCCACGAGCCACGAGCCACGAGCACTAGCCTGCTGGCGTTGCCGCATCAGCTGCTGCCCCGTCCCTCGGTGTTGGTCGCTGTCGGCTGCCGCCCTGCTAGCCGCTGGGGCTGCCACTCCCCTGTCGCTGCCACTTTTGGTTGGCAGCCATTCGTCGCAGCCACCGAGATGCGCATTTGACCTCTCCTGCCTGCATTTGCATCATCATCGCCAACCTCGGCGCCGTCTTGCTTTTCGTCGCACAACTAACCGCCGCCCTCCTCCCCCCCCCATCCTCCCCATTCTCCCCAAGACGAAACGTCGCTGCTGCCCTTGCCAGGGACGCCAGAAAAAGAGCACGACTGAATCTGAAACCTGACAGCGCGCGCCTCGCCCGTTGCAAAAAAAAAAAATATGCTTCGTCATTTAGCCATCGAACTCTAATCGATTCAAGGTCCCTCCCTCAACGGTCCGCCGTTGCGCTTTGTTTGAGTCGACAAACCCACGAGCAAAAAGAAAAATAAACAAGGGAAAGCGTGCTTCCCCCTCGCAGCGGAACCGCCAGCTCATGTGCTAGTCCTCCGAGACCGAACGAAGCGACAAAGAGGTAGATTATTTTTTGAGGACCAATCGACATTCCAGCCTGTCGCGCGCCGCTTGCATTTTATTTACCAGTATATCGCAGACGCCGAACCAGAGCAGCGAACCAGAGCAGCGAACCAGAGCAGCGAACCAGAGCAGCGAACCACCCTCACCAAGTCACCAGTTTACGCTTTCGGCGTGGCACTCTGGCCCGAGCCTCTGGTACCGCCGCATGAGGGACCCCTAAAAGCCTCAAGCAACACGCGCCTTGCCGGGAATCCAAATTCAACAAAGAACGCAACCGGCCCTGTGCCCTGTTAGGAACCGCGACCTTTTGGTCAGGTTCCGCCCTCACAGTTGCCAAGCTGGATATCTTACCGTATGTGTGCCTTGCCTCCCTCGACTTGCCCACCAGGGCCTCGCCGCTTTCCCTCGTCGATATGGCACGCCTTGGGTCTCGGCGCCATTTCGGAGCCTGGAGCCTTCTAGATCACTAGATCACTGTGTATTTGAATACCGTCTTGCGCCCCGTCGCCGCCATGTCACCTCCTGTGCCCCCTTCGGCCTCGAGACACGCATCTTCACCCCTGCTGGCCCCGGCCCTCGTCCCAGCCCTAGCCCGCAGCCAACGCTAACCATCATGAACTTGGTCCAGTTTTGTGACCGTTGCAGGCTGGTCCCAGCATACGCGTCCAAGCACCGCCTCCGCCCCGTCTTTCGGCCACATGAGATCACAGTCCAGCTTCACCAGCCCGCTTCCCTCTGTCAAGGCAAACGCTACCACCCCCCGAGGCCAGCATTACAGGTCGCCTTCGCTGGCCGACCTGCCGGATATGGCGGCCGACGTGACATCACCCGGAGCGGCTTTGTCCTTCTCGCCATCACCACCGCGCCCAATAACTCCTTCCCCGTCTTCCCTTTCGGCCCACACCTTGGACGACGAGCATGAGCTTAGCACGCTGCCCGACCCGAGGAGTAGGACCATAAGCCCCATAGACGGCCACCCGGATCTGAACGACGAGGTCGCGACCCTGAGCAACAAGCTTATAAACGCCATCAACCACCAGACCACTCTCGGCGACACATTATCTGCCGCCAGGATGGAGCTTGAGGATGCCAGAGCGACAATAAAAAACCTCGAGGCGCGGTTGGAGGAGCAGCGCGTCATGCTCTCTGGAGACGTTTGGGTTAGGAGAAAGACTGTCGAAAGTGACAAGGCGAAGCTGCTGAGCCGTGTTGCCGAGGAGAAGAAGGCACGGGCCGAGGTCGAGCAGCAGAAGAAAAAGATCGAGCTCGAGCTCGAGAACCTGACCACTGCTCTGTTCGAGGAGGCCAATAAGATGGTCATCTCGGCAAAAGAAGAGTCCCAGAAGGAACAGGAAGTGCTGATGAAGAAAAATGATCTGCTGAGGTCGCAGCTGGCTGATACCGAGGGCCTGCTCAAGTCGCAGCACGACCAGCTCGCCGAGCTCAAGGCCGTAATGGAGCAGATGGGCGCCGATCGGGACGACCTGACGGCCCTGACGACTCCGTCGTCCCCTGGCTTCAGCAAGTTCGACCCCAAGGACGACGACACGCCGCTTTCCGAGGGCGCATCGCAGGCGGGCATGCTGGAGCCCATCTCTCCCTCGTATCCGACCAGCTTCACCCATCTAGTCCAGCCGGTGCTGCGTACCGATCTGTCAGCATACCAGGACTTTATGACTCTTGTCCACACGACCAAGAAGCTTGTCAGGAGCAGGCCGCCCTCGGGCACCCAGAGCGCTGGCGCCATGTCGGCCCTGGGCCTGTCGCTGGGACATTCCACGAACGGGTCCAACGCGTCGGCCGCCTCCATGGTATCGGCCTCTGCCTCGTCGACGCCGTCTCTCCCCCAGACCCCAAACTCACCTGCTTCCGGTCTTGGCATCACGGGGGCCATCGCGCCCACAAGCCTCCCGCCACTCAGGGACAGCAAGTTCTACAAGCGCGCATTGGCCGAGGACATTGAGCCCACCCTGAGGCTAGACATGGCGCCCGGGCTCTCGTGGCTGGCACGGCGCGCCGTCATCGGCTCCATAACGGACGGCTCCCTGGTGGTGGAGCCCGTGCCGGCGGGGTCCCCTGGCTCGTCGCTGGCGGCCATCACGCGCCCGCAGTTCTTCCCCTGTGCCCTTTGCGGCGAGAGCCGCAAGGAGGAGCCGCACCTGCGCACGCACCGGTTCCGGACTAGCGAGGCGGAATCCGCGCAGCGCTACCCGCTCTGCAAATCCTACTGCCTCGTGAGGCTGCGGGCGGTCTGCGACTTTTTGGGTTTCCTTCGCCTCCTGCAGGGCGGCCACTGGCGCGCCGACGACGAGGACGCCGAGCGCGCCGCGTGGGAGGAGAGCGTCCGGCTCCGCGAGCAGATGTTTTGGGCACGCATCGGCGGCGGCGTCGTGCCCGCCGCGTCGCTCCACCAGCACTTCCACGGTGGCAGCCCCATGCTGGGCAAGTCGTCGTCGTCCAGCCCGCGGGAGAAGGGCGGCAGCCCCAGAGCCAGCAATGAGGCGGCGCGCAGGGTCGTCAGCGGGAGCCCCCAGCGGCCCAGCATCGACGTCACCGGCTCCGACGACGACTCTGGCAAGACCACGACTCCCGTCGAAACTGCCGAAACTGCCGTTGCCGCCGCCGCCAAGATCGAGGACCAACCTGCGGCCCCCACGGACGACCCTGCAGCAGCCCCAGCGGCAATCTCGAAGCAGGCACCCGAGCCCTCCACCACCACCACCACCACCACCACCACCACCACCAAGACGACAGAGGCGGTAGCGAGGCCCGTGACTCCGTCTTCGGAGCCGGCGGCTTCGACCACGTACGCTGCTGCTGCTGCTGCCGCCGATTGGGAGGAGGGCAGTGCACTGGCGGTCCAGATCCCCAATTAGTTTCGAGGCGTCACCACCCACCCACCACCCCACGCCGAGCCAGCATTATCCGCACATTGATAGGCTTCATCACTTTCTTTTTTTCTTTCTTTTTTTTCTATTGATGACCACACCAGCATCACTCGCCACTACGATACTACCTCAACATCTCTCGCTAATATCGGGTCTCCGTCTATTTGGCCTCACACCCCACTAGCCACCTCGAGTATAACATGGCTTGCCCACCGCCATTCCGATACCCAGGCGGTGGTAAGTGACATTACGAGAATAACAGCGCATTCGTTTCCAATATACCACCCACACATGCACCATCACCCACCATCACCCACCATCACCAGCACGATCGTGCCACCGCCATCACCCACCATCACCAGCACGATCGTGCCACCACCATCACCCACCATCCATCCATCCATCCACGGCTGGACCTCGGACATTGATTGGATCATGCTCCGGGCAGCCATGCCGCCTCTACTTGAATTGTAATAGGCCTACCAAGCAGGGAATAATTCTGGTTGGAAACAGACGTTTTTTCTTGTCTGCCAAATTTCTGCCATGTCGTTTTTACCACTCCATTCTCCCCTTTGTCATTTTTCTCTCTCTCTATCTCGACCTCTCCCTAGACGTTGCATTTCGCCTTGGTTTTCTTTGCATGCATTGGGGGTCTTGAGTGTTTTCTTGTCTTGCTTTTTTTTGGACTCCCTCTGTTTGGCGTTTGGAGTAGCACCCGGTGCACATATGCACGCACCAAATGACAGGGGGACAAGATGGAAAGGATTTTGGGCACCTGTTTTTTTTTGGTCTGTCCTCCCTTGGCTGTAATTGCAAAGGGGAAATGGCGAAAAAAAGAGTCGTCAATGCAGAAAAGGTTGAAAACTTTCTGCTGCTGTACCACCACACACTTTTTGTTCCTGATTTTTGCATTTCTTGGTTGGACCCGCGTATGATATCCTTCCTCTAAGATACTATTGTGTTTTGATCTCGTTGGGAAGGTCGGCCTCGGCTTTGATGTGCATGGTGCATGGTGCATGGACGGTCGGGATGGGAAGGAGAGCAAAAAGAGAGGGGGGAACATGAATGGAAACACTCGAGCGAGAGGGTGTGGCCAAGGGGAGGGGAAGGGAGCATCGCATTTTCCAATCAACAGATGTCCTTTATCTTGATTCGTCTTTGCCGATCCGTGGTGTCGAGATCCCTTTGCCGTTGGTGTGTGCGCCGCTGGTTGGCCTTTTTTTTTCGTTCTTTCTTTTCCTCAAATGGTTTCTTCGCGGCGCCAATTATGCGGCCCGGGGCTTGGTGGTGATCTGGTCAGACGTGCATCAATCACATAGTGACAGCACAGCACAGACATGCGCGAGACGATAACAAAACGGGATATATAAGATTAAGGGAGTATTAGTGTCTGTTGAAGCGGCATAGAATGTTGTCCGAGGAGGTAAAGATTCGCGTTGGGGAGGTGGAGGGCCAGATCTGTCCATGACGATGATGGATGCATGATGGAAATGTATTCATAAAGGGAAAAGCGGCTGTGGGTGTGAGAGGGAAAGGGATGTGCAGAGAGAGGAGAGCATGAGGGAGGGAAGGGAGAAAGAGGGGAAGGCAGTATTGACGACGCCTCCATCGCCTGCGCTATGCATGGATGGGGGCCGCGCAGGTCTAGCCCAAGGCCGGCTGCTGTTGGGAACGACAAGGAAGAAGCAAGACGAAAGAAGTGCGGGCAGATGAATATGTTTGATGGTGGTAGTGGTGGTGGTGGTGTGTGAGTGTGTGCCCGTGTGTTGAGCGACTGGGGGACGAGATGGTTGCCTGTTTTCTGACGGTGTGAGTAGGACCGGGCATGATGCCGGGGGCCGCGCGTGTGATGTGCAAAAATTGGTCCGGCTGCGGTGCTGCGGTGAGTCCCCGCCCGAATAAGTCACCGGTTTCCTTTGTGATGATTCCATTGTCAGTTCCTCGCATCCTCATCATCATCATCATTCGCTGCTCCTCTTTTCATATATGCCCAGCCAGCCTATAGGGCACAGTGCTTTATTTTATCAGGTGGCTTGCGTCGCCAGCCAAGTGGCATCCGAGCGGCACCGTCGGCAACCCTCTCGCCGAATGTGGTGCACCGCCGTTATCTTGTGGCCTCGTCCTCCATGCCACTATGCGCGTTGGTCTTGGGAACACTGGGAATTCCTTGGCTGGCGCGCCTGGGCGCTGCTGCTGCTGCTGCACTGCACTGTCGGCCGTGGACCGAGAGGGAAATGCCGGACTGCTCACCGCCGGTGCCGTGCTGTGCTGGGCTTGCGTCTGGGCGCCTGGGGTGGCGTTTATTGCTGTTGTCATTGTCTCGTGAAAGGCCCAGCGGCAGGCAACATCTGTCCAATTTCCCCTCTCCACCCGACTCACCGGCTTCGATAAAAACAAGAAAATGGGATGGGCAAGAGGGGAGAAGAGAGGGGTTTGGGGCACGGGGCTGACCATTTGATCCTGTCTGACCCGGCGACCCTTGTTGTCGGCCCATTATTGCTTTCGCAGTCGTTTTGCGTCTGCACTGGCTGTTTGCGGTGTGGTTGTACAGAAACAGAGACAGAGACGGAGACTCGAAAGATCATCGTGTGTCCGGACCAAAAGCTCCTGTCCACTGCTGCCCATATGGCCGAATCCCCCGATCGACAATCGGCCGCGGACCCGGGGAAGGAAAATAGAATCGACCCCCTCACACGGTCCGGTCCATTTCCCCACTTGCACACGGGCTTACTGCCTGCGGGACCGAGGGGAAAGTCAAGACCTGGTCCGGGGACATCCGGGATGCACAGGCCCCTCGCCGACAAGTTGACTAACAACTATGTGGGAAGTAGTGGTGGATGAGGTGGTGGGTGAGGTGGTGAGTTGGTGGTTGGCTGTGGGGATTCGTCTCAACATCTGCCGACGCTCCTTCCCCTCTTTCCACCATGCATCTCGTCCACTCTGGATCCGAGCCTTGGCGTGTTTGCCTCGTTGTGTGCTGCTCCCCTGAATATTGGCTGGTTGGTCCGTGGTTTGCGCCACCGTCGGTTGCCCATCCAGACCAAGTGCTGCCGAGCCAGGCAGAGCCAAACGAGAAATTGTGATGAATCAATCGCACGAGCCCATGCGGACTCTGGACTCACACACACATGTGCGGACATGTGCGGACCCTATTGTACGACGCGTAGGTCAATGCAAAGGCAGCCGGCTTCCATTATCCGGCTGCCGTGCGGGGTTATCGGGGGATGGGATTGGCTCGTCCTCGCTTGCTAAACCCCATGCATCCTATGTTGCATGCGCATGTAATAAAAGGTCGCCATCGCTCTCTCTCACACCCTCACGACCAGAAAGATTGCTGCCGGAACGTGCGGCGAGTTGGTCGTTTGGCGGTGGCGAATGGACAGTTGGCAGCATCGTATTTTCGCTGCAGGCAGTACGAGGAGGAGGAGTGCCACCCCTCGCCGGTTCCTGCTCGCGCTCCTCGCTCGTCTTGTTGCCGGGGCTGTTGGTTGGAGCAGTCGGGGGAGTTGCCGGATCAATTCCGGGGCTGAAGGCTCGGCGGCAGGAAGCCATGCCAATATGCGAGTATGTGGCGCCGAGGGCGGTGGTCAGGCTGCGGGTGGCTGCAGTCCGTGATAGGCTAGAGACGCTTGGCGAGGGTGGACCGAGACAGCTGGACAGGCAGGCAAGGGGCTGCAGGAAGGCCACCACCGCCACCACTGCCACCCACCGCGGACAGAGATGAGAGGGCGGCAACAGAAGACGAAGGGGAGGGGCTGGGGGGTGTGAAGGGCGCCTGCAGGTGCAGCGGTGCAGTGCGTCCTGTGTGTGCGTCTTTTTTGTTCTGTCTGTCTTGTCTTTGTGGTCGTGTTTGAGCTTGTCTGGTCCTTGTCCTGGTGTGTCGTTGGTTCAGTATCCCACCCCGCGTTGGCGAGCATGGTTGGTTGGCCGATTGGGTGGCGAAGGAGGGAGTTTGGGACAGCACAGAGGGCTCAAAGGGGCGGGTAGCACATCCGAGCCATTTACAGGCAGCAGCGTGGTGGGCCACACTGTGCGATGCCCCCGTGCGCGGTTCGCCCGCTAGTCGGGGCTACCCGCCAGCGTCGCAACCACCCTAATCAGCACCTTCCTTCCACGCTCGGTGGCGCCGCACTAGACCACGCCCACGACAACACCCAATCATTTGATGCATTGGCTGCATTGGCGCATTGGCTGAACTCACTGCTACATCACACTGGTTGGGGCCCCCACGGGCAGCGGCAGGCAAGGAGCGCGGCGGGCAGCCTCACTTATCATTTGGTAGGCTCATCGTCTCCAGAGCTGCTCCATCTGCTGCATCTGCTCCATAGAGCACTCTCGAAATTAAGTCGATAAGTCGATTTCACGGCTGCCGGCTTTCCCGCCTTGGTATCCTTTGCTCAACAGTTGGGATGACGCGGCGGTTTATCACGGTCTCCTGGTGTCCCCCTCCTGGCGTCCCTCCTCGAGCCATGCAAGTAAGTACCCCTCCCTACGCACCTGGGGTACCTTTTGGCTGCCGAGGACGGGTACATCCATGGTTCCACGCTGCGTAACACCTGGTCGTGCTCCCGCGTGTCCCGCCTTGTCTCATGCCGTCTTGTCTTGCCCGTCACCCGCTCTCCCGTTCCCTCAGTCCTTTGGGCCTGCATCGCTCTTCCTAATACCCGCAAGCCAACCCAGGACCCCGGCCAGCCCTCACTTCAGCCTGTCCAATCACCCGTGCTTGGCCAGCGGGGCCACCAGAACTGGCGCGAAAAGCGAGCGACGATCATTGAACTCATGTCTGCAAGCGCACAACACCCAGTGCACAACACCGAGACTCCTCTTGGCTCCTCTGGCGTGCATGCACTGTGCATGCACCCGCCCATGCACTCCAACAACCCAGTCAACAGCCCAATACCAGCCAACCACTCCCTAAACCCCGATCCCGCGCAGCCAGCCAGCCAGCTAGCCAGCTTCTGCCGCTCCGACTAGATGCGGCTTTGGTTGGCTACGCCGCTGCCTGCTCCGGAGTAACCCACCCATGCCGGAGATGTCCCCCATGTCCTGCCTGCACCTGCACCTGATTCCTTGCTCCAACTGACGCGCCATAACAAACGCCGCTATAGCTGCCTCGCGTTGCATGCTCACTCGCTCGAGCAAGCCCCTCCCTCCTCCCTCGCGCTTCCTTTGTTTTTCAGACCCTACCTGCACCCCATACCGTGCCGCCGATGACGACCCGGGAAGCCGGTCGGGACGTTGGTCTTGTTAACTATCGCCCCTGGCGGCCAAACCATCCGCTCGCTCGAGAGGATGCCCGCCCAGTCTTGGGACGAGAAAAGGGGGGTAGGGTAGGGCCACTTCATGGAGTCTGTGTGGCCTGTATACCGGGACGTGCTGGTCACCACACACACCGTATGTAGCTGGCCCATGTAGCTGGCCCATGTAGCTTGCCCCTCTTCTTCTCTTTTGTGAATACCTCACCGGTCTCAACTCGCCGTCATCCCCGTCAGCACATTTGCCTATTAAGGCCCTTCCGGCCGCCCTGCCTATGATAGAGCCTGGCCTGTCTGCTTCCCATCACTTCCCTCTTCGTACTCCTTGCCCTGCCTTGCATTGCGTCGTCGTATCTTGTCCTGTCGCAGCCCTCCTGTACCGTCTTTCACCGCCGTCGGGTTCTTGCCTGGCTTCCCCCCCTGCCTCCGTCCATAGTGTCACGGACGCCAGCTGGTCATTCGCACGGCGCCTCGCTCACCGGGCGAAATCAAGCCCGCCCGCCTGCTGCCCGTCGAGACACCCGTCTCCCACCGCTCAGTCGCCGCTTTGGACCTCCTGACCGGGCTGGCTTTCCTGCCTCGCTCGCTTCCGCCTCTCCGTGTCATCCAGTCCTGCCGACCTCGCTCTTCCAGTCCTGCCGACCTCGCTCTTCCAGTCCTGCCGACCTCGCTCTTCCCAACTCCGCGAGCTAGCCGCGTTTGTCCTGCCCCTGTCGCTCACTGCAGTCTCTGCCCGAGTCCTCCAGGTCTATATCAACCCAGACCATTTCCCCCCCTCGCCGCTCCTGTCTTGTCCTCCTTCATCATCTCATCCGCACCCTTCCGCGTATCAGGCCCCAACTACTTTTGCACACCTGGTCAAATCTTCTGCCCAAGTCCATATTTTCTAAACCATATCTTTTGAGCCATATCTCCCCAGTCCCTCATACCTCCCTCACGCTGCATCCATACTCTTTTGCCGTCCTTCTCCTTGGCCTCTGGCCTTTCGATTTCGCCGCACGTTACGCGGCCACGGCAAGCATGGGTGACGCCAAGCCAGGACCCTCGGTCCTGGACATGAACTTCATCAGGCCAGGATCGCTTGAGCTGACGAAGCGCGACCTTGATCAAGAGCCCAACTGGGCAGATGCCATCGCCAAGACGATCGAGGTATCGCTCGGCCTAAGCGAGATCCCGTTGATACTCATCGTCCGCAAATTCATCCCCGCCCCCAATGATGTCACGTCGCGAACCTGGATTGCACCAGACGGGGTCACGCGGGTCACGACAGAACTGAGCCCGTATGCCATTGATGATATCAACATGGCCGCCGCCACCATCGCCACCTACATCCGTGAAAACTGCCTCTGCTTCGCCGAGGTTGTTGTCCAGGCCCCTCACGCCATCCAGATCGTGTACCGCCGTGTGGCCGAGCACGTGGCCGAGCTCCGCGTGGCCGTTGCCCGCCCGGAAGCTGACGAGATGGACCGGGAGATTCTCGAGCTGATGGAGCGGTACTGCCCGCTGTGGTGGGGCATCCGTGAGTTTTGACATCTCATGCCCAACTGTCTTCCCTTGGAGAAAGCTCACTAACATGACATGACCAAAAACACAGGCAATATGATGGGCTCCGCTTGGCTCGTCGGGGAGGAGAAGCTGGGCATGGATCCCGTCCTTGACGAGGGCTACCCGCTCGGCGACAAGATCTCGGTGCCCCGCCAGGTCGTGCAGACGGCCGGTTGCCTGCTCAACCGGGCCACCCAGCCGCGCCAGACCGCCTTCCTGGAGGCTTTCCGGAGCGCCATCGCTCCCGGCCGCAGCAAGGAGTGGTATCAGCGCTCCTTCTATACCGTTTTCGTTCTCGTCTTTGTGCTGCTGCACGAGTGTGAGGATATCAGCAAGGACCGCGAGCGATACGCCCGCCAGAACTTCCTAAAGGTAAGTCAGAGCCCGAACCGAACCGTCTTCCCCTGGATAACTAGAAACCCCAAGGCCGTTCCACTAAGACAGGCATTTTTTTTTTTTGAACAATTGTAGGAGAAGTTCTCGCTGCCTGACTACGTCAAGGCTTTGCACCAGAGTGCCCGCCAGTTGATTTCCCACTGGCTCGCGTTTGCCGAGAATCTCGGCGTCGACTTCTCCAGCAAGGAGAAGCTCGAGGCGTCGCTGGGCTTCCTCGAAGGGCCCAAGAGGGATGTTGTCGTTTCCAGCTACGACGAGATCGTCGTCAAGAACAGTGAGTTTAAGCAACTCCTTCGAGTACACCTGGGATGCAGTGCTGTGGGGGACAAGCGTGTGCTGACCGACGACACAAAAACTGCAGCCCCTATCCGTGCCTCTCCCGAGACATGGACCAAGGACCTATGCTTTGTCTCGCATATGTTCCAGGTTCCGTGGCCGAGGACGCTCTCTACCAAGGCCAGTA